AGTTTCAGTAAACTGAACTTATTAAGCTTAAGCCTACAAATGAGAGGACATGAAAAACTTTCTTATTAAGATTTTTTCTCTTGGGTTTAGAAAGCTTGAATAAAAATCTAAATGTAATTTTAATACATTGTACATAGTTGTAGACTAATATAGTTCAATGATAGAGTAAAAATACAATATTTTATAGTTTGTTATTTCTTAGCTTCAATAAAATTCAACATGGATTTCATGTCTTTTTTTTCTTAGCTCAAAACAACCAAGTTTATTTGAATTATGACAGAAACATTACATCTTTCTGATGTTTGATTGAAAATTTGGTATTTAAAATTGATTTTGTTGTTATTTTTTGAATAATAAAACAAGAAAAAAGTTGATATTGTGACAAAGGTGCAAAGTGAAGTCAGTTAACCTTCAAGAAAAAGTTGAATTTTTACCTGAAGTAGACTTTTTGCTTCAGAACTATTAAAAAACGAAGTCTCGGTCTAGCTAGGCARTTAAATGACTAATTTAAAATTCAACGGTAAAATTTAAAAGAAGTAAAAATTGGACTGTTGTCAGACCTTTTCAGGTTCAGAAAATAGCAAATTTTGAAAAAACGCTTGAATACCGAATGAAAGAATTATACAAAGATTAGTTAATTGTCAACAAACTACATATGATGATGTTTTAGTGGTATTTTTTTACCAAACCTTGGATATCTGGTCTTGCATGTAAACCTTGACAGTTTGAAAAGCAATCATTCTTTAAAACGATGTTTTCAATTAAATTCTTCAATACTGAGACATGAAAAACACTTACCGTTTGTCAATGTATTTTTATAGCATGATATCTTCACAATTTAAGTGTAAGTTGAGCATAAAATATCCAACAAAAGGACAAGAAAAACAAGAAAACAGTGACGACCTCAAACTCACAAACCAAACTGACGCGCGCTCGCGCACGAGTCAAACAACAGATAAAGGCGGGAAAATAATACTCGATGCTGATTGGACAAATGTTTCCCAAAACCTGATAAATCACGTGATATGCGAGTTATAGACTACTTGACGCTGATTGGATGAAATTAAAAACACGTATGACCGGTTTAGCAGCACAGGGAGCCCAGAAAAATTGATTTGTTTGAAATAAAGTTTTGAGAAATAGAATTTTATTTGGAGCGTGTGTATAAAGAAGGAAAATAGAAAGTGATTTCTAAAATATTTAGGATACTACGCGCGCTGTGATTGGTCGAAAACCATGTTTGATTACAGTATCAAAACACGCTCGCGCGCGTCAAAAATTTCTTTTTTCCCGCCGTTTGCATTTGTTGTTGTTATTCATTTTCAAGAACAATGAACGTAAGAAATGTCTATTTATGATGTCCTCTCGGATGATATCCCAGAAGAAGAGCTATCAAACGTTTTAGAAGCTACAGAAGCTGCAGACAACTGAAATGTAAGGAGAATTCATCGTT